CCCCAAAACCCCAAAACCCCAAAACCCCAAAACCCCATCTACATATTTTATATTGTAATTCTTAAATCAATAGAAACATGGATGTGACCAGCCAGATGCCTTTCAGCCCTGAATTTCGAGGTATTCCCACCCAAAAACCTCATAATTTATAGACAAACTGAAGGAAAAGATCAACAAAACAGGTTTCGACCTCTCTTACGACCAAAAATTAATCAGAACAGCCTCCCAATTCAGAAAGGAATTCGAAAAGTTATTCCCAAGGAAGCCGATCAAAGGCAAGCTCTCAAAGATCAGAAAGAAGGTCCGCAAAAGACAGAAGCAGAGGAGCGAGAGCTTAAAGGATAGTTACAGGTTTATCAAGTATTTAGTCATAACCTTAACCTATGTATAGCCACTCTAATATAAATAATCTCTCTTCAAACCCAAATTTCATCGCATCAAAGCTTTCCCAAAACCAGATGGATATTGCCAGGAATTATAACAACTCACAAGATTTCTTAATCTCTGAGCTCCATAATGGCTCCAAATGTACGGAAAGAATGAACCAGAATAGCTTCATGACTACTAATAGAGATCTTTCAGGCGGAATCTACCCAGAACAGAACTCAAACCGAGACTTTGTTGGTAAATTTAAATTCCAGATTTGGATGCTTTAAAATCATGCCTTTGCTCTCCATGGGTTTTAGAGACAAGCCGGTCTTGTCTCAAGTAAAACTTAGACAAATATATTCTGATAGCTACCCTCTGCTGACAATTTTACATAGATGCAATTAGTTGAACACATACCAAGCGGCAACTTGATTTTCCACAGAATACCAATGATCTGTACCATGAACTAAACAATTCAACTGAGCATAAGGAGGGATCAAGGAAGGACTCCTTCCTAATTTCGCCTAATAAAAAGATGAGGTATGAAGAACAATCATTAAAAATAGGATTATAAGCACACTTGGAGGAACTTGAAAAGGAAACTGCATAACAAGCCAGAGACGGAGTGGCTCAATGCCTGATAAGGTCACTTCACCTCACTCAAAGAAGAGATCTCCGAACAAGTTCTTCACCAAAAGGAAAGCGCATATGCTTGGAAACAAGATGACAAGAGAGTCGAAGGAGTCATCAGCTTCTGCTATCCGATTGGGTTGTAAACCAACTTCAGGTAATTGCTTTAGAAAACTCCCTCCTTGAATTCTCTAAGGTTACACTGTATTATCCTTGAAATACCTCAAATTGAAGCTTTCACCAGTATTTAGAACAGTTTGATCATTTAATCCCATATTTTATTGATGAATTTAGGAAAACCTGGGGCTTTGAAACGATATTGCTCCTCACAAGAACAATTAACAAGCAGGCCAGTAGAAAAAGAGCAAAAATATAGAAAAAATAAACCAGAATCTCAGCTTTATAATTACATCAACCAAAGACTATTAATAGCTCATAACGACAGTTGTGAGCGTCACAACTGCTATTGCTCCCACCGAAGTAAGTAGCTTCTCATCCTTCAGAAATTAAAGCGACAAAGCCAAAGAAGATAACTAATTTCAAAAAGAAGATTATTTCCAGAATTTCTAACAATATTATCAGGAATACTTGGGATTGCTTCCAAACAGATGCTTTGAGGTAAGATAGCGCCCATCTATTGCTCTCTTTCTCAACTAGATTACATCCTAAACTGGTAGAATTACTTGATAAAAATTCGTCCTGGACGATCCTTAAAAATGACTAAAAGCTACCATTGAAAAAGAGAACCTCTTACAGCTGAAATGTACAAGAATAGATCAACTTTAAGTTTAATAAAACAGCTATTTCCCTTCTTCTTATCAACGACTATGGCTTCAAAATGTATCGCTTGTTTGTTTGACCCTAGAAAACACCTAAAACCTCATAATTTAGACCTTCATCGAACAGCATGATCAATCTGAACAAGCATCAAAAACGAGTAATCGAGACTGGAATAAAAGATATTATTGTAACCTCCCCCTAATTCCATAGTAAAAACCAAAAGTTTTATGTTTAAAGACTCAGCGAAATCGCCCAAAATTATGGTAGACATTAAGCTAATGAACTGCGGCATCGGCTCTAAGAAGGAAAAGCAGCCACTCAGCAGCACGAAGCCGATCAAAATATTCAGAAATAAGAGCAAAATCTCTAACTATTTGAAAAAGAGAGCCTCTGGGATGAAACTTCACCGGATTTCTAAGAAAAATCTAAACCAGAGTCCGGAAAATACTGGTTATATCACTAATCTGAAGAATATTTCACGGATTAGCACTAGTCCAAGCCAGATGAGGTCGAGCAACTACATATTCGAAAGAAAGAGAACAGCTACAGCTCCCAAGGAGAAGTTAAAGATACGCAAATAAAAACACAAGGAAATTTAAGAAGAAGGGATCACCTAAACGTACTAAGGACAACGATAACCTTGAGTCTAAGGAAATCGAGATCTTCAACATCAATGAGGAGAACACCACTCCTGATAATAATCAAGAGTATAGGGAGTATAATAGCCCAACTCCTGATGTCTGCCATTCTAAACTTGATGCTGGCTTTGACGATCTTGAGATCAAGACCCAAGATGACAGAGTTAATATTATAAATATTGATATTGACCTCAAAAAGACTAAGAAAGTGACTCCTCTTAACCTTCCTTCTGACAAGAACAACAGCCTTGCCTCTAATGAGGAGGAGAAAAGACCCTTACAGAGTCCTAAAGTAATGGCAAATGCTTCTACATCTCCTCTCTTGCAAAGAAACGCAAAGACGTTCAAGAACATAGCTGTTAGTACGAAGGATGTTGATAATAATACCTTTGAAATAAGAAAGTCAAGACTGTTCCAGATTTACATCAAAAACGACCCACTATACGGCAATCTCTCAGAGCATGTGTACAATGATTATGACCAACAAAACATCTTATCCCCTCACGATGCAAATTCAGCACTGATCAAGGTGAAACTCATAGTGCAGAGACAGGATAAAGGGATCCATGAAGAAGTAAGACCCAATCTCACAACTATAGATCGACTCTACCTTCGTCAACAGTTACTTCCGAATAGGCATGACTACGCTTGAATACCTCATGAACATTTGTAGCATGAAGGATTACTACAAATAAGGTCCAAGCCAGCTACACTGATGACACATTAGCAAACAGCATCAAAACACTGATTAGAATTAAATAAGATGTACAAAATTATAGATGTCTTGGTACCACCTCTTCTCACTCTTTAGGCTAACATATTCAAACTAATAATTCAAAAAGACAAGCTAGATGACTCTGACCTAGACCAAAATAGACAGTTAGAAGAAATAATACGTGACCAGATCAGCACGAAGTTCAAAGAAGGACCCTTTAAAATGTGGATCGATGGGCTCAAAGAACTCTTACAGTGTAAGTAACCAATTTATTATCCACAGATTCTACTAATATATCAAGTGCAAAGGGCATCTCAAGTGAAACCAATGACAAGCAACTATCACCAAGTAATGAAGAGAGCACTCAACGAAATTAAGAATAACTAACTCAATTGCAAATAACTAAGCTGGGGTTTTGGGGTTTTGGGGTTTTGGGGTTTTGGGGTTTTGGGG